GAGAGGGCAGAAAAAAAAAATCAGGATTTTTGTGATTTGTTTGGGGTTTTTAGTGGTTTTGTTTGGGTTTGTTTTTGTTGGTTTTTTTTTCCTTTTCTTCCCCATGTGCCTCCAGTACAGGACAGCCACTTGTGCACCGTGCACAGGATCCATGCCATGGCCTCCAGCAGAAGGGCTTGGGCAACACCCAGAGCTCAATTAGGGGCAAACACAGAGCCCAGGGCATTGGGGTGGGATTACCATGCAGGGGGTGAGGGCCCCGGTGTGGTCAGGAGTGGAGGATTTGGGCTTTGCCACTGAGCACCACTGCCAGCCCTGTGAACCCCGTAATAAACGATGTTAAAACAACTTTCAGAGGGGACCGAAGTGCATATTAATAACTAATAAATGATTAATGCGCATGTGTTAACAAGCTGCCACTGCTATTAATCTGTTATTAATTATTAAGGGAGTATTTGTAAGTATGCCCCGAAGCTGACAGGTGCAAAGCCTTGCAGCCACCCTCCTGCTTGCATGGAGCTGGGGTTGGAGGGGATTACAGGGATTCATGCACAGCAAGGTGCACACACACACACACACACACACACACGTTTTCTCCATCCTCAGTGCCCCCACAGATCCCTTCCTTTTGCTGCACCATCTCAGGCTCAGCTTGCAGTCCCAGACACTGGAAATAGCTGCATGTCGTGGCAGTGTAATTTTTTAGGATTTTGTTTCAGCCAGACCCCTCTAACAAAGCTGGAATCCAAGCCGTGGGGATCTGTGTGCAGCTTGTGGGGGGAAACTCAGGCACAGATGGGCACTGCGGTGGGGCAAAGGGGCTGAAGGCAGCAGCACCAGAAGGGCTGGGGGGAATTTCAACTTCTGAGGGTTGTCCTTGAGAAAGTCCCCTTGCCTGTCCCACTTACCCCAGGGGACAACCTGGCATCACACAGGCCCTCTCCAAGCTGCCATCGCTTTCCCCATGAGGCGCTTGGATGTCCCCAGTGTCCCTTGCTCAGCTGGTTGGGGACGACCTGCCTTTGTGTCCCCAGCAGTGGGGCTGCTGAGCATCCTGAAACACAGCGTCACCCTGATCCCAGGCTTGTGCCACCCCACAGTCCTGGCTCTCCCAGTATGGGACTGGGGACGGCACTGTGGGTGGTGAAGCAGAGCAATGCCTCCATCTGCTGGAGGAAAGGGCTCTAAGTGGCTCCCAGCCTCCTCCCCCTGCGCCCCAAAACCACCGTACCCAGCAGGGATTTGAGGATGCTCCTGGGGTGCATCCAGCACAGTGGTGGCCCTGTTTGGAAACTGTCCTTTGGCTCTGCAGCTGGCCAGGGCAGGAGAACAAAATTGGCTCTGCTTGCCCAGCAGCTTCCCATCTCCTTCCCTCCCTTCCCCTTCCAGCACTTATCCCATCCTATTCCTTTCCACCATCTTTCTCATTTCCTTCCAGAGGTTTGCCCCTTCCCTTCCCTTCCCTTCCCTTCCCTTCCCTTCCCTTCCCTTCCCTTCCCTTCCCTTCCCTTCCCTTCCCTTCCCTTCCCTTCCCTTCCCTTCCCTTCCCTTCCCTTCCCTTCCCTTCCCTTCCCTTCCCTTCCCTTCCCTTCCC